TTCAGGTAAATATAAAAGGTGAAAGCGGTTCAGCTGACAAATCAAATCTTTTTGACTGTCATTGTCTATTTTGTACTCACAGTGTGGATAAGCTACAACAGGTAAACATGTCAGCTGTGTGGACGCTAGTGCTGAATTAACAGTATTGATTTGAATAGCTCTTCATTTTGATGAACAGATCTTTTAGACTTTCCAGTTTTCTTTTAGTGATCTTTTCAGTTGCAGTGTGCCTAACTCTAAACTTTCTGATTTGGATTTTGGCTAAATTAAACAGTTTCTGTAAAAAAAACTTGATTTTGGTGCATCACTATTATTAACCTATTTCGTATTAGTGTGATTTGTAAGCATAGCTATTGGTATTTCTCATACTTGGGGCTAGTGGTTTGTTCAGATGACTATACAGATGAACTCACAGCCTTTCAAAGTATCCTCCATTTAGCTTACTTAGTAAATGGATAGCATGCTCGACATATACGCAATAGAAAATGTCATCCTTGTCCAGTGTTTGCACTATTTATCTCCAGAAGTTATGACCGGTGAAATTGTCTTTTGTATTTTTTTTAAACTTAAGTAATATTCATTAAAAGAGTAAACTTGAAGGTCTTCATTACAACTCGCCAAAATAAAAGTTGGTTTAAACTTTAATAAATTGTATTATTATTGTTTCTTAAAGGAGCACTCCACTATTTTTGAAAATAGGCTCATTTCCCAACTCCCCTAGAGTTAAACAGTTGAGTTTTACCGTTTTCTAATCCATTCAGCTGATCTCCGGGTCTGGCAGTAGTTCGTTTAGCTTAGCTTAGCATAGATCATTGAATCTGATTAGACCGTTAGCATCTCGCTCAAAAATGACCAAAGAGTTTCTATATTTTTCCTATTTAAAACTTGACTCTTCTGTAGTTACATCGTGTACTAAGACCGATGGAAAATGAAAAGTTGCAATTTTCTAGGCCGATATGGCTAGGAACTATACTCTCATTCCGGCGTATTAATCAAGAAACTTTGCTGCCGCTTCCGTCGGTCTTCGTACACGATGTAACTACAGAGGAGTCGAGCTTTAAATAGGAAAAATATAGAAACTCTTTGGTCATTTTTGAGCGAGATGCTAACGGTCTAATCAGATTCAATGATCTATGCTAAGCTACAGCTAAAAGTGCTACCGCCAGACCCAGAGATCTGCTGAATGGATTAGAAAACGGTAAAACTCAACTGTTTAACTCTAGGGGAGATGGAAAATTAGCCTATTTTCAAAAAGGAATCCATTTTCCTTTAAAACAGTATTTGTAAGGAATGGCTTACCATTTTTCATCCATGATCATAATTTTACTTGCCAAAAAATAAATTAGTAAACACCCTGACATCCTGATGTTTACTGCAGGAGAGACACTGGCTTCACGTGTCGCTGCCTCTCAGCTCACCTGTCTTGGCTGTCCTGAGCTCATTGCCCAAAGCCGTCAGGAGTATGAAGATGTGGCTGTGAAGCTTGGCACTGATATGGAATTGTAAGTTGTTCTTGTCAATTTCCACTTTCAAATCAAGACATGTTTAAGATCCTTGAAACACGTTCTTCCTTCGCTCCGCTCAGCCTGAAGAAGGTCCGCTCCCGCGTGTGGAAGCAGCGCATCTGCAGCCCGCTCTTCAACACCAAACAGTACACCATGGACCTGGAGAGACTCTACCTGCAGATGTGGGAGCGTTACGCCGCTGGAGGCAAACCTGACCACATGGTCAAAATGCAGTCTCTGGAGAGCAGCGAGAGCGGATAAGCTAAGCTTGTCCCTGCATGTCCCCCCGACCCCTCATGTCCTCCAGTATGTGACGGTCACAGAGACTCTCTGGGTGAGCACTGTGACTATGATCCCCACCAGCTTTTGTTTCCATGAGCCAGAATGGACAGCAGGATGCACAAAGCTGCTCCACTGAGACTCCTCCCCCTTTTCCATCGTCTGACTAAATTGATGTTGGTTGGCTCCACTTTAATTGTTTGTTTCTCTGCTTCTTAAGGGACTTTTCTGTAATTGAAGTGGACTTTACAAAAAAAGTGAGGTCTAAAATGAGAAGGGGCAGTCTTAAAATAATTCAGTAGATATATAAACGTAAAGTAATCATCACAGATAGGTTTTTTTTAGTTAGGTAATGTGCTTCTTGACCTGTTTTAGCTTTATCATGACTTCAATCTGGGTGACGGATACATACCTCGGATCACCAATCTTTTTCCCAAATGAATGCCGACATTTCCGTATGCTATCAATAGAGAAAATTTCCTCTCTTTTTCAAAACATGCTATGTGAACATGCTGAATAGAGGAGTGTCTTAAGACACAATGACAGAAGACTTGCAAATTGCCTCCTGATTTTTTTAAAAATTATTTTTGTTTTTTACCAGGAAAGGTCTAGGTAAGTATGTTCTAAGCGGTTTTGGTTTTGTACACTGTCTTCCTATTAACTCATTTTGTTTATGCACTGTCAATTCTGTAAGGCTCTTTACATAAACTGAAATAAAGAGATGTGGCAAACCTTAAAGAGAGTTGCACATACTTGGCTGCAGTTCTTTTTTCTTTTTCATTTATTCTTCCGTTCCTTTTAGGAGCTAGCACATACTGGTTATTGTGATCTATATTGCTGATACGGTGTGCAGGGTGTCTTGTTGCTGACAGTACCGTGATGTGCACCAATTGTAAATAAAGAAATGAGGAATCCATTTGTCCTATTATTGAAAATAGTGCATCTGTCATCCAGTGTTCACAGTATCACTGATCATAATGGGCTCTATTCACATCACATTCATTTCAGTGTAGACCGAGTGTAAAATTTTATTTCTAGACTTTTAAAAAAATATATATATATTATGAGATTTAATAGGGGAGACTGGGACTAAAGATCACTCAGGGTTGTCACAGATTCGATTATGTAAGTGACTAGCTATGTTTCCATCACCCTGTTTTTATGTGCATTTTGAAGTATTGCATCAGAAACGAGTGATGGAAATGTCAAATTAAAAAAAATCCCTTAAAGTTTTTACGCTTGCTTGAGGTGGTTTTTAACTTTAGTTGAAAAAGAGTTAATGCGAATAATGGGAGCTGGAAATGCATTTGCCGAATAAATTCCTCCATGTGCATCTAAAAAGTCATGTGACTTTGCATGATGGGATGGCATGACTTGCCTAACCTGCGGACTGATCTCGTTGCACAGGATCTGAAATGTTTTGGTCATTCTGCAATGCCTGAGTCAAAGTCTGTCATCAAAGTATTTCTGCATAATTGCCTCCCAGAACTGTCTTACACGACTGCGTTCCCAAACAGCAGCATCCACCTCCAAAAGCAATGACTGCATTTACTGTGTTTCGTCTGCTCGCTCTGAGCCGCAAGTCATTTATTATATAAATTAAAATTTTTATATTCAGTGGCTTCTCCTACTTTTCTTAGTGGTATTTTGTGCATAAGTTAAATTTGGATGGAACCATATGAAGACTTCCAAGCCAAAGGTGCAATTACCTAAATATTTTTTTTCTTTAGCAGTGGATTTAGATGTTGAAATATCTAACATCTAGTCTAAACCCCTCAAAGATTAAGTTAATATTTGTGACCTCTAAACTAAAATTCCAATAACTTTTCAGTAAATGTAGCTGAAAAAGTGGACATAATATAACCACACTGACATGTTAAGTGGTTAGTTCATTCAAAAATTCCTAATTTTTTCATCTTTCATCTTCTGAGCACAAATGAATATTAGGACCAACACTGTGACCGAGAGAGGTTCAGCACAGCAGGATCTAGTTTTCCTCTCGATTGAAGCCGAGTCTGACATTTCTGGCATGAAACCTCAGCATCCAACAAGTATTTGAGTGTGGCAGTTATGCTAAGAGCAAAGGTTTTTGTACAGTACATGTTTATTGTTAAAGACAAACTGTACTGGATTGGTTTTCAGTCCCAATTCATGGAATCTGTCAGTAAGTTTACATTTCATAACCTGACCCTTTACTGGGCTTCATGTCACTTTTTGAGCCAAGTAATGGTGACTTCTCTTAACAGGTCTAGAGGTTAAGTAAACTATACCTTTACATTATAATGGAATGCCATTTTCTGTAAATACAGTTTGTATGTGAGCACATTTGCAGTGTTTATGCACAGCAGTCAATGCTGGGTCGCTGGCCACCAGAAATAATACAAACCCAAGTGTTAATAGCTACAAATGTTTCCTTAAAATGCAGTTTCTACTTGATCAACCTTCACATAAACTTAGTTGGTGTGACCTAATGTTTTTAAAAAGAAAAATTCCAATGATCACGTTTCATTAATTAACTTTTTCACTCATCACCAGCCAATTTGAAGGACTATACTGCGATATGAGCTCTCTCAAGTACTGAGGAGCTAAACCGTTCAGGGCTTTATAAGTAATTAGTACGATTTAAAAATTTGATGATCAATAGTGAGCCAGTGCAAGGTCAGAAAGGGGAAAAGTCATTACAGCATAAAATGCACATACTAAACTACTTATTGCACAAACCTAGTTTAAATTCACTCTTTAGCCTTGGTTTTGTGTTCACTTGAGAAGGGTGACATTAGCAGGTCAGAGGGAATTGCAATGCTTGCTACAGAAACACAGCTGGACCTTTAGGCAATGGAGGCATGTGGGTTATTGTTTACAGACTGTATAAGAACAATTATTTCCAGTTTGGTCAACAGAGCAACCTTTCAAGAGCATGCAATATCAACTCCAAGCTCTTGTGTGGTCTTAACCATTATTCTGAGCTGTTTTCATCATATACAGACCACTCTGGACAATACAGAATAATAATACAAGAATGTATTTGTAAATATGAATTTGAACAAGCAATCATACACATTTAAACAGCTCAATTTCAGTCACTCTTGTGAAACTTGCTGTGCTACTGTCACACAATGCAACAACAATAAATCTGGGAGAAACCCGTAGGGCATTTATTATTGTACTGTAGGTCCATTCGCCTGCAGCAGGACTAATACTTCAGGAACCGGAAGTTGTCTTTCTCTCGCAGATGACAGGTTCCGGTTGGGGAAATTTGAACGCTGTTACACAGTCAGGTCGAGCTGCTGGTTTAAAGCGCGATAGATCACATTCAGTTTTACGAGGTATGTTGAACGAACCAAAAGATTTTGGCTAAAGCTAAATGTCCGTTTGTCACGTGGTCGCTTGTTTATTTGTTGATTTATCGCTCGATATTGCAAACAGGAAAAACGCCGATAAATATATCCAGTTTGGGTTGGATATTTATTTTATTGTTATCCACCTTTTTCTTCAACGCGGAAGTAAGCCTATGGGTGAGACTTCCGGTTCATTAGCCGCTATAGGTAAATAACGAGGAGAATAACAACGTGCAGTAAACGGTAAAACGGTTTGCACTACAAACCAGTGTGTTCATAATTAAGATAATACATTAAAATAATATGATAAGACACACCAACTTTCAATATCAAGCAGCAAAACGAACTGTTTTGTTCAGCTAAAAATAGCTGGACGGAGTGGACGCAGATGAGACCGGAAGCCAGACCCATAGAAATTACAAATGGCCGCGCCCATTTTTACGACAAGAAAAAGGTGGTATCCGGGGCCGTTGAATACTTGAATCCATTAGCAGCTTTAAAATCTGGTTTTGGAGCTAGCAAAAGAGGCGCTGGATGAGATGCGGAAGAAATAATCCTGCTCACTAAAGCGACGAAACCCTTTAAATATATCATCTGGTCGCTGTCTTGAGGTGTGGTGACCGTAGTACAAGCGGAATAAAAGGGTATATGTCGAACATCACCTGACCAAACCCGGAAAACAGGTCTCATTGCTTCCGCTTGTCGGAGAACGTGTTAACAGCCGTATTAAATAATACCGATATCTTTGGACTTTTAAGATAATCAGTTAAACTAGCTAGCTGTTTTTATTGTTGACGTTTTATTAAATTTTTATATCTAAATGTGAAAAGAATAATAAAAAAAAAACTTTTAGATATCAGTCCGCATATGTGATGGACATTGGTTATGATCATCATTGGTATCTACTTTGAAGCAGAGCATGTGAGCGGAGCGGAGTGGTAATATTTCCTTAAGAGCGCAGAGCGCCTTTCTGAAGATTCCGCTCCGCTCGCTCAATACGCTCAGTGCCGCTCGCTCAACCCAGAAGGCCTTTGGTGATTTGCTTGTTCGAGATCGAGAATAGTAGAACAGAGTATGACATGCAGAGAACAGATAGAGGAGGGGTGATTCAGAGAAGGAGAGAGAAAGAGACAGAAAGGAGGGGTACGGCATCAAAAGACAGAGAGTGTTTTCTAACAATCATTATTACTTAAAATTAATAAATAGTAATACATTAATTTAAAAAAGAATAAAACCTGCGGAGTCGTAGAAACAAATTGTTAATTCGAATTATATTCGGAGCTCCGTAGTTATTAAATAATCTCCGTTAAACTGTAGACCTAAGCTAACACACAGCTGTATATAGGCCTAAATACAGAACTACAGAGTACAGAAGATATTAGCCTACACCACTTGGATTTTGGAAAACCAGTGCTGGATCCCTCCCGCAAAATCTCCAGCATCCCCAGTGCTTCTTCCAGGGCTGAGCGAGTGTTTTCGGGCACAGCGAATGCTGAAGCTTGACACTTTGTCCAAGCTAATGTTTCTTAAAGTAAATTCTAAACGCCAGTAAACATCAAGAGATGTTTTAATAGACCACAGTTCTGGTTCAGTTCAGTTATGGTTTATTTTAACTTGACACTAGAAAGTGTGTTTCTTTCATTGACGTCGGTTCATAAACCAAGCGTTCTTCAAGTGCATTTTATCTTCTGTGTGCTTTTCACAGGCTTTATAATATAGGTGTATTTTGTAAAGATCTAGGCACATTTCATCTCGTGTGTGTGTGTGCGTTTGTGTTTTAATGAGCCTGTTTTGTGTTCTACTGCACAACAACTGCAGCTATTTTCACGGAAATAAAGTTAACGAAAATCAAATACACTTTTTCAGTTTTTGCATTTTAGGTAGGTTTGCTAAGGTTAGATTCATATATTTAATACATTTTAATTAATACATTACAATTAATAAAATTAAGAAGAATGTAAGAATTTCGCTCTGAAACATGATAATTGCTATTTATCAGCATGCTTAATTTTAGACAATAATCCAAGAATTTCGTTACAAACAGTAAACAATTAGGCCTAC